CCTCACCTGAACGGGAAGGCCGTACTGGAGGTCGAGTAGACACGTTTGGCAGATGTTCTTCGCGCGCGCGCAGGTCTGGCAGATCTCGGTCTTCTTGTACCGCATCTTAAGTCCCGGACACCACCGGAATGTAGTGAACGGACGGTTGCAGACTTTGCATTGGGCGCCAAACTTCTCGGTCATTATCCGCATATACGGGTTATCGCCTATGGATCAGATAATGCATTAGTGGTAGTCATTAGTGGACATACGTGTGGCCATCGCGTGGTTGGGAAGCGCTGGTGGTATACATACCGAGACATGTCTGGCACAGTATGGGAAATTGACCATCTTCCCACACCTGCCGATTGTAATGCCCGGTCCCCTTTGACATCGCCATCACTGCCTGGAAGTGCTGTCTTCGGCGCCCACTTTGTGGTGATTTTTGTGATTATTTTGTGGTTTTGTTTCCCGAGAAATGTGTTGTGATTTTCAACAGACACTCAACACAACGCTTAACGTATTTGTATGCCTACGAGTAAATGTTTTTGTTGACCTTTCCCTATAGCTGTCGATGCGTTGATGTCTATAGGGTTTTGTGTTAGACTGTACTCCAAAACAACGTTTTGTTTATGCCGTGTAATACAGTTTAGGCTCTTTATGTGAACTTTATTTAATATTTTATTTAGATGTTTTATTTTTGAAGATTTAATTATTAATTAATTAATAGTTTTAATTACTTTTAATTATTTTGTTAAGAGTTTATAATTTAATTAGTTGAATGTTGAGTTAATATAAGGTATGATTTAATGGTGTGGAAAATGAATGCATTGACTGTTAAGCCAATGAGATGTGAGTATTGTTTGACTGAATTTCTGCTTTCGCTGTAAATTCAGTGAAAGTTTTAATGAAATGTGAATTCAATTGAAATGAATTGAGATTTGGATTAAAGTTTGGTTTAAATCAAAACTTTTGTTTCAGTTTTTCATAAAAATAAGCGAAAAATGATTGAAAAAGTGATGAAATATTGTGTAAAATGTATGAAAAGTTGATATATTTTTAGTGCCAAAAGTTTGTGCTTTAAATTTGGCGGAAAGTGAGGCCCTTTAGGTCCGACAGATGTCTTACCCCTCACTATAAGTGCAGTAAATGTAAGGCTTGTGTGGACCGGGAGGTGATGTCCTCTCGCGTCCCAACCATTCATTCAATGCTTTGTTTTGTTTGGGATTTAAATGCAGTGAAAGTGTCGACACCTTTCAGACCATCTCTACATCTGATCCATACATCTGCCACAGAGAGGGGACTGACAGGTGGTGCCGGTGTTGGCCCTAACCATATGCCAGATGTTGTCCCCACACACCCGGCCTATGCCTTCACCACCACTGCTATTATCCCCGCATTTCTTACCAAATGTTTTAAAAGATTTCTTTTAAGATATTTTTGCGAAATGTTTATAAGATTTTTAGTTTGAATTACAAATTGAATAGTTTGTCAACTATTTTATTTTTTAATTGGCTTCAATGAAAGCATTAAATTTGCTATATTTCGACCATGGTCAATGATCAATGATTATATTTAAATAAAAATACAAAACAATTTTTGAAATCTTATTTTTCTACCACGAGTTTTACAGTTGTAGTCCAATCGGTATTATATTTCGTAAACAACTTTCTTAATAAAAATGTTTTAAACTAAAAAATAAACTCATTTTAATATCAATAAAAACACTGATAAATAGTATATTTAAATAAACGTATGTTAATTATGATGAACATGTTGGTAATTATTTAAAATCATTAAGAATTGACGTAGAATTAGTTTTAACTTACATATTATAATTAATTAAATTTTTTAAAACATAAGGTAATTCAATAGTTAATGGTTTTCTAATGCATAAATTTTTGTAAAAAAAATAAAATTGATTTTTAGTTAAATAAAACTTTCTATTGATTTAAAACGTGTAAACATTTTTCTGCATAATTCTTACGCATATTCAATGAAAATAAGGTTCATTTCAATAAACTAACGTTAATTAACATACAATTTGCTAAAAATAACCACAATTAAGGTATAGTATAGTATTTAATTTCATAACGTATGGTGTTTTTGAATATAATTCACTACTAAATGACTTTTCCTATCATTGCTTGTCATTACTTGCGCTGAAATGATAAACACAATCATTAAATCGCATAAACACCAGACGAATGGCACAAAAGCCAATTGAAGAGGTAATGGATAGTAAAATAAATCAATTTATAACACACCTCGATCATTTTATGTGTATATTTCAACTAGATCCTTTTAGAGCCCTATCATTATTTGAAGGCATCCAATGGGAAGCAAATTAGATCCAAACTATTGCAAGTAATTAATTGGTTGACTCATTAATTAAGCAAAAGTTTTAATTGTTATTTAATGATTGCCACTAATTATCTATTGAGGCGTTCAATCATTGGCTGCAAATACCGTCGGATGAGCTGTCGATTGTGTCTGAAATCGTGGAAATGTTACACAACGCCAGCCTTTTGATTGACGACATCGAAGACGGATCCACTCTTCGCAGAGGACGTCCGGTCGCCCATCAGGTCTATGGCATCCCAACGACCATCAATTCAGCCAATTATCTATATTTTGTTGCCCTCCAGAAGATAATCAACGCTTTTCCGTCACATTTGTTGCCAAAAGCTATGAATTTATTCAGCGATAAAATCCTGGAAGTCCATAGAGGACAGGGTCTGCACCAGATTATTGATTTACATTTATATTATATGCTATTTTTACATCATTTACTTTTTATTGATATAAGGAATGGACATCTATTGGAGGGATTCATACATATGCCCGACTGAAGAGCAATATCACGAAATGGTTAAACAAAAATCCGGTGCTCTCTTCGCTCTGGGCTTCAGTTTAATGCAATTGTTTAGCGATAATAAGCGAGACTTCGAGCCATTTCTCAATCATTTTGGAGCATATTTTCAAATACGAGACGATTTGGCGAATCTTAAGTCTAATGAGGTATTCATTTAGGATTTAATTGTATAAATAATTATGAAATAAAATTCATATTATGTTTAGTACACCGAAAATAAGACGTTTGCCGAGGATTTAACTGAAGGAAAGTTTTCCTACCCTATAGTCCACGCCATACAAAACTATCCACACGATAGCTCTCTCATCAGTAAAGCAATTATTATTATTATTGTTTAATTATTAGATATATTAGTTTGAAAACTAACTGTATTTTAAATGATAGATATTCTGCGCCAAAGAACCAAAAACATTGAGCTCAAGAAGTTTGCGGTGAATAAGTTGGAGGAATTGGGATCTATTGACTACACATACGAAGCTTTGAGACATTTTAAACGGGAAATAATGAATGATCTTCAGGTGATTGGAGGCAATCCATATATTGACCAGATATTAGCCTTTCTTTCATTTGATTTCAATTAAAAGTCACATTTTGTTAATATGTTTTGATTACTACACAATTGTTAGAAATATAATTAGTACACAAGTCGCTAACCAATTAATTTTTTTATTAGATTTGTTATAAATTATAATTTTATAAAGTATTGTTAGATTTTATATATAATTTTTAAAACAATCATTGCTGTATATTTATTATATCAATACAATAGTTAAAGTTTAGTTTTACTGTACACACATCAATGATATAATAGAGTATAGCATTAGCACAGGTGTGTACATAATGTTAAGGACAGGAAATTACTTAAGCCATTGAGTAATAGAAAATCCTTGGCATTCAATTGCACACTACATCATAGCATCACTTTAATTGCTTTATNCACATCAATGATATAATAGAGTATAGCATTAGCACAGGTGTGTACATAATGTTAAGGACAGGAAATTACTTAAGCCATTGAGTAATAGAAAATCCTTGGCATTCAATTGCACACTACATCATAGCATCACTTTAATTGCTTTATCATATTTTTATCATTAAAACTTTTTTGAACATCAATTTATGACTAATAAATGTTATGCAAAATAAATATTCAATTTTCAATTAAATGTATCATTTTCAAATCATTTATAAACATCTCAAAAATATTCATAAAATTAATCGATGGATATTTCAATAAATTTTAAAAATAATATGCATACCATTGATATCACCTGGTGTCAATAAATAAAGTGTATAGGTTGTGTTAATAAATATTACATAAATTATTTATAATTAATTAAAAATACAAATTACTCACTTCATAGCACTGAAAATTATTAATTGTAAACAATTTCCAACACGAAAAACCCACACATCTCTCAGATATCCTCTCAATTAAGACCATTAGCTATAGAAATAGAAATGATATGTTTTTTGTGGTATTTTAATGTCTATTTAATTGCCATATAATTACCCTGAAATTGTTTAACGAGACTTTTCCCAAAAAACTTTGCTTAGCGTAAAACTTATGCACAAATAAACGATATAATATTTTATAGGATTTATTTGCTTCATAATTGACTGATGAGGCGCTGAATATGACAAATAGGAAATACAGCAATAGCTGTGACATTATAAACCTCCAGATAATCATCTCAAACAACGTGGTTGTCTTGAATATCATTATATATACGGGAAAACACAGCCCTGTGCTAAATGTTAGCCATAAATTAGCCAAATATTTAGACCAATAACTAGAGTTATAGTCATTAATCTCCTTATACAATGCGTTAACAGACCGTATAATTATAAGATTATTACCCATCAATCTATGGGCTTGAATACCATCATTGATTTGTCTGATTTTAATTTTTAAATACTCGCAGATTAAGTAGAAATATATAACTGGATATAACATATGATTGTATGAATAATAAGCAAATATTGAAAATATGAAAGCGTGTGGAAAGCCTAAGAAAATTGTCTCAATTAGTCTACAATTGACGGCATATGGTATGAAAGCAATGAGAAAGTGAATCAAAGGAATCCCTTTATTCGTGTATAAAAGGAGAAAATATATTATTTTATTGGTTTTGCGGACAAACTTATAGACATTGTTTCCATCAGTCATTCCCACAGCTCTAGGAGTTACCAAACCCGACATCATTTCAAATACACGTAGAAATGTTGGTTTAGTACCAATAATATAGCTATAAAAATAGATACATTGATTGACCATGTTGAATATTATAAATACATTACATCCCATATTATAAGTGGCGGTCATTCCCATGAAATGCGCGAAATCTCCAAACAATTTAAATGCAAACTCATTTTGTTTGGGAATAAAGAGTACGAAAGTGTTTTTGACAAATATTATGGTAAAAGTTATGAACACAAGAGTCGGTGAATTAATCGCTGATCTCTTATAATCGGGTCTATTATTTACGAGACATAAACCAATTCTATATAAATGATTGTCCAGAGAATCCATTATTAAATTATTTGGCAATAATTTGTTCACATCTATTGACAAATCCATGTTTTAGCGAATCAATTAAGTTTTAGTTTTTAAGTAATATTTATGCACAAATATTATGATAAAACTAAATATGTCACTAATAATTTAGTAACTATTATTTTAATAACTTATTATTTACTAGACAGCACTGTAAATACAATTGAACTGGTGTCTTTAAAACTATTAAAAACTATAAAGTATTCTCATACCAAGTAATTATCTTTTGAATATATTATACCAGAATAATTTGGTCCTTTTTTGTACTTAAAGTACATTAATTGTATAACTTTTAATTAAATAGTTCATTTTATTTTACCACATATTGTATATTAATAATATATTTTGTTTAACGCACACAATATTGATAATTATTAATTAAATAAAGCTTTATATCATTAAGTTAATATTAAAAATTTTATTAAATTAATTTTTATTGTCATAATAAATAATTAAAATTATAATGTATAATGACTATAGTCATTATCCATAATATTATAATTTAAAACAAAGTTTCATTCAAAATTTATTATATAATTAAATATTAAATGATACCAATAATACCAATGAAATACCAATATACAAATAATACACATAATATATTTTTAATGCAAAAATAATCTAATTATTAAACTAGTTTGAAGCGAAAAAATTAGTTTAATTACTAATTAAATTATATACCTTACTAAATGTAAATGTAAATTAAAAAACGCTTATCACTAATCCCATCAATGTTTTATTTTATTTTTATTTGAGACTTAAATAATAGAATAGATTATAATATTTAAATGAGTAAAACCCTATATTGTTGAATTAATGTTATAATTATTTGAATATTTCAATATTAAATGACTGTAAATATATAGATAAAGATGATCTTAATTAAAAATAAATATTTTGCACAAATATAGTTAAAATCTAATTAATTTGTAATATGAGTAATGAGAAAATAAAATTAATTAAAATTGTCGCCATATTTGGTATTGAGTTAATTGCATCGAAAACAATGACTACACTATCGCTGTTGAAGAATAAAGAAGAGTTCGGGTCACTGAGGGTGAGGTCACTATTTGACCGCAAGTCTCACCGCAATCCACACCACGAATGGGTGTCACACGAGTCGACTAAATGGTCAAAAGGGTTGGCCGATCACAATCAGGAGGTGATTGATATGTGTCTCAATTTTACCAGTTATATGTATAGCGGGTGTCAACAACGGGAACGGGTGTTGGCTATAAATAAAATGGTTATTTTCGCCGGCTTTATGGACATCGCTCTGGAAATGGCTCGTAAGGAACGGTCGGCCCCTTTCATGGATCAACTCATTGAGAAACTCTTGACTATATTATTAACCGGACGTACGGACCCAGAGTTTGCTCTCGGTTTGTATCTGCCATATACTACATAATATGTTTACATGAAATTTATTTTCATTCATGTTTTTGTGTTTAACTGATATAACATGTGATGAAATACAAGAATAGGCGGCCGATTGGTGGACGCGTTGGAAGCGTTGGACGCGTTTATGGACAGAATGCAGATGACATTTGTGAGGGACAGTCTGCGGGAGTCGTTTGAAAGTCACCGTATATTTTACAACGAGTATTGGCTACAGAATCGGTTCGTACCGTACGATCAGTATTACGACCTCCGACGCAAAGAATCGGGTATACAATTGTTTTGAATGCATTATTAAATTATATTAATTCACTCATATACGACAAACCAGCATGGCCATTATTCGTCACACTGACCGAGATCAGTGCGGAGTACAAACCGTCCGAATTGGTGCTCCGGTATATACCCATGGATTCGCTGTTCACATCAACCGTACGTCTATGCGTTGCTGTCGAGGATTACTTGACGCTAAAGTCCAAACTGGCCGACAATGTCATCACCACTGGTGTCCTGTCCTACGCGTGGAGCGAGAAATGCACGGTTCAGACGGCACTCGACGCCCAGTATCAGCTCATAAAAGCGTTGGAGACTGAATGCCAGTCCCTCTCCAACACTATAGCCAACACCAAATCGGGCGCCGAGTTTGAGACGCCGGCACTTATGGCGTACGTGAATGCGTTGATGGATATATCGCACGGCTTATACGCGGCAATGGTGGTCATCAAAAAGTACGAGGTCAACGACGGTCTAATTGGGTGCCAAAAATGGGATCAACTAATGCGGCAACTCTTGGAAAATAATTAGCAATTAATATTTTACGCGTCAATTGCTATAATAAATAAATATAAATACTATTTATTTATTTTGAAAAACTTTTAATTATACAAATGAAAATTAATAAAATAAATTATTAATATTAAATAATTATGTTTATAAGCACTGCTCGCGTATAAACATTGCGCGTTTTTTAGTAACTATGATTAATAAAAGTTCATGTTCACATTTTAAAAATACGAATTTAATAGAAGAAGTTTTACTGTAATAGTATCTGCTTAAACATTTGCATGATCAAACTATTTTACAACAAATAAATCATATTATTAAATGACAATACATTTAGAGCAGAACTAAAATAATATTTTAGTAAATGGCAATTGAAATAACGCGATTCATTGTTTTATTCATAGGTACTGTAAGTGATAATGAAATAGTCTTAAAATATCATACATTAAATGAACAAACAATTATTGAATCACATATTGCTTATAGTTTACGGCCAGTAGTGATGAACACATTTGAAACGCCGATTGCCGGCTACGCCAATGTGACGGCACCCGAGTGCGGCATTTCTAAGCAATCCTTACTTACAAATCATGACTGCTTTCAATATCATAGGAATGATCAAAGCATTGGCTCAATACGTTTTGGCCGGCCTTCCCAACAGGGTGAAATGGTGAAATGCCATGACTCGTACATCTCACCATCATTGAAAATTACAATAGGTTAAACAAATTGATTGCCACTTGTTTTTACAATTAAATTATTCGTCAATCACATTATATACTAACTTTATTTAATTTCACGTTGATAAATAATTTTATATTTTTATTCTGTTAATTTACTTATTTAATTTAATAATATTATGCTAATAATATACATA